GGGGGGGAAGTGGGTTTTACAAAACATGATTTACAAGCAGCTGACAGGAACAAGTGCATGGTGTGCAACTGTTCATCATACAAAAAATTGACGTGCTACTTGTAGTGAAGTGCTCACAGGAATCTGTTGACCACACCTTGAAAATCACTTGTCTGTGAATAACTCAAATACTTGTAACTAAAATAGCTGCTATGTTGACCTTTATAGAAACTTTAACTTGCATATTAAGTCTTCCTGCAAACCTTTGTTTTGCAAAAGGATTAGTCATTGTTCTGCACAATATGAAGGAATGTTCATTTGAAAATGGCAGGAACTAAGTAGTATGAAAAGGTACTTTCTGATAGAGGAGATCAGGATTCTTCCCTCTTCTATATTAAGAGCTCCTAGAATCCTACTGTCACCATTTTTATTTGGTCTCTGAATTGAAGGGGGGAGGAAAGACACATTCTTGATTTCTGCATCTGAGCCTCTGTCATGCTGCTCTCATCTTGACCATCCAAGTGGCTCTTTAGGGACTAGCCAGAACTGTTAGATTTATTGACGCTAAGAAGTGCCATCAGGTTTACCTAAAATCACCAGGTGAATGTAAATGGAAGGATGCTGGATGTCTTTCAGTCTGTTACCAGGTATTATTTCCCCTTTGTCTCTGTTAAAGAAATTTTAGTAAAAACAAGTATTTTTGCTAACATCAATGTGCTGAGTTGTATTTAGCCTGTTAGGATGTGTCAGCCATTTTAAAATTAAGCTGTCATGAGAAAAACTGTTCAGTAAATGGAAGTGGCATAACTTGTGAAAAATAGTCAAAATAGCATTTGTGCATAGCAAAATTATCAAAGAGAGAATAGATTCATTTTTGTCTGCTTGCAGGTAAAACAGAATAATCAGCAGGTGTTTCTCCCCTTCCAGTTCAACTTATCCTTTCTCCCCTCCCTGCCATCATCATGTGCAAGAACACTATAAATGTCATCCCTGTTTAGAACTCCCAGTTTCACTAATACGCAAGAATTAGGAATTTCTGAGAGTGGGACAGGCATACTAAAACAACTTGTACCCCTCTTACCATAAAATGCAATTGCTGTGGTTGCTGAAAAAACCTGAAAAGATGTCTTCTATCATCTTTGCATACATACACAAAATTATTCAAACTTACCTGTACAGCTGCACTAAGCATTTTAGGTGTTACACACGTTTGTGCATGCAATTTCAGTACAGACTCATGCATTTGTCAGATTAGATTTTGGATCTTTTGCAGGTGAGTATATGCATAAAGAGAGAGAAACTCATATAAACATATGGATTAATTTGATATGCATGCATATATTTGGGACACTTTAATACTTACAGGTAGTGCCATTGCAGAAGGACAACATGCAAGTGTAGGTTAACCTTTGAGTATAGAATTTTTTTTGTCTCTTTTGCCCGCGAAACATCCTAGGACTTAATTTTCTAAGTATTGCAAGTATTCTTTATTTTCAAAATATTATCCTTTGCATTACAACTGGTTAAAAACATGATTGGTCAGATCTCTTTTTTTTTAATTGTCTATTGTTTTTTATCAGCTGCCAGTGAAGTAGTCTTGTCTTGTGAAGACTGGGAAATATTTTCCTACAAAAAGGCATGTACAGAGTGTTGGAGATTGGAGTCAAAGGATTAAGTGGGACAGAAAATTTGTTGCATTTGCAGTCCAGTTTGTACCTTGATTAGGCAATACTGGAAGAGATAAAGTCAAGCTAGGAGTAGGCATAGAGGAAGATTGCTGTGAATGGATAGTTTCATATAAAGAAAAGAAAACATGCAACACCTGTGCTGCCAGAGCCTTTAGCTGAAAGAAGTAGGAAGTTTTAGATTTATGCTCAGCTGTGGAGACTTGCTGAACTGCACCTTATTCTTGGAACCTAACAGTAATTTCTGTATATTTATAAGGAAAATTACATGTTAAAATCTTAGTTAAGTGGGTCTTGGCTTCAACCTGGGAAATAATACCTGCATAGCTGTAAAACCTACAGAGACTTCTCATCCAGCTTGTCATTCCCCACTGGCTCTGGCATGAAGCAGACAAGTCTGGAAGATCTCACACAAGGGGGCACAGGTTTGTTCTGTGCCCGTGGGATGCAACAGATGCATGTGTTCTTTGTTTTCTGGGAGTTACAACAGTATGGTTTCTTAGTTCCCCCTAAATGTGTTTAAATTGCAGACAACAGTAAGGTGTGTAACTTAACCTTCATTTAGCACAGCTGGCTGAACCATAGGCTTGGGGGATATGCAACCTCATGTTTAATGGGATTTCAAAGCAAAGCAGTGAGAAAAGTCAGTTTGCTGAAAGAGGAGTAAGCACTCACAAAGCAAAAGCTCCTGAAACATTTTGGCACTATGCGTGTAGGTTGTCCATCGCAACGTATCAGCAGCTTTTCTTTCCTTTCAGCTGTTGGTCAATCCAAGACCAAGGGACACTGAGAGCAGCTCTTCAGGCCCAGTCATTCAGCCATCTTCCTCTCTCGTCAGATGAGGTTTTTGCAAGACCTAGCTGTGCTTTGTAGATTTAAAGCTCCTCACATACCTTCTTCCAGGGTATGGAACTTTGTACTGAACATGCAGGCATCTGTTCCTTCCTGAAGTTTCTTTTGGAAAGACTCAGTGAAGATCAAAACAATTCTGGGAAGTTAGCAGCCCGCCCCAGGCTCTTGCAAACGTTGGGTTGCAGAAGAGCTCCAGGAAGGGTCCCAGTTTGACTAAGTGTACATGGCTGGGCTTTTTCTTGAAAGTTCTGGAATCCACCTTTGCTTGGCACAATGTCTGGAAGTACAGCAGAACCTGCTACTCCTGTAAAGTACTGCTTCAGCTGCTGCTGTGTAACCAAAACTATGCTTTGACTTTCAGTCTAGGAATCCTGCTTTGCTTAGAAAGAAAGCTTGAGAATGGAAAGGCTGGAAAACACCTTCCACCCATCCTTCACCTCATTTCCTCTCCCTTCAAAAATGTAACATTCTGTGTAGTGTTCCAACTGAGCAAGAAGAACCTGTCCCGCAAACCTCCAGCCTAGTTTACAAAAAGGTAAGATATTCCTGCTTGAGTTCAAAATAACATAGCTTACTATGTTACCTCCATTATAATGCTTCTTTTTTTAAATAATCCTAGATGGATATGACATTATTTTTATAGCATTGAGTAAGTGGTAATGCAGCTAATATTCTTAGAAAAAAACTGCTCTCTACGGTCTAGTGCCTGTCTACAAATTAGTGATTCTGCATGTGCGTTATATGTCTCTCGTGAACAGCAAGAAGAAGTCATACACACATCAACTCACAAAAAACAAGAGTAACAAAACCAAACCAAAACTGGAAAAAAAAAAAAGAAAAAAAATCACAGAACTTTCTGCATAATTATCCTGGTACAGGAATGACATAAAAAGCTATGTAACTTTCTTGGCCTATGAAATCATCCTGGAAAAACACATTTAACCTTCCCTGGCAGTCATACTTTAAAAGAGTGCTGGAAAGAGAATTGGACTTTATGGATACCATTTACTCTGAACTAAGGAGTTCTGTTTAAAATAAAATATTAATATAATGTTATTACTCCAGCATAATGCAAACAACTGTTAGCTGCTACATCTTTACCAGTATAAGAAAGATACAATAAAAATGAGTACAAGGTCCCTGTTCAGCTTGTGTTCTCACCAGTGCTTACAGAACTGTAAATGTCTTTTGCTAAACATTCATACAGAAGCACTGACTTTCTTTACAGCGAGTTTAGAGGTTACATGCTTACTTGGGTGAACTCAGCCTTTTGCAGATGTTGACAGAAACAGAGAAAAATCGAAACACTTGGGATTGGTGGGGCTTTGCATGCTAGACTAGACCTTGGCATTGTGGAAAAATGTATATATACTTGGCAAAATTTTAGTTACTGGTAGGTCAATGTAGCAGGCAAATCGGTGTATTTGATATAGTTTTGGAGGGTGATACAACTCAAAAGCTTTATATGAGTCTATGAATTCTTAGTCTTTTCTACACGGTAACTGTTGGAAACGTGAAGCCTTGAAGGATTCCATATAGAGCTGAAGTGAGCACTGGAATAAAGCACGCTGTTCAGATATCCTACACCTATTTAGCATGTATGTTTGTTCCTTACATGTAATTATCAAGGTATTGCTTTTTTAAATAGACATAGCAAGGTATTTTTAATTATATGTGTATTCATCTACGGACAATGAGAGTAGGTGGAGGAGGAAAGTACAACAATTACAGGATGTCTTACCAAAAGTAGAAGTCATAAATCTTGATTTTTAAAATACCATCTTGAACATGCATTCACCTTTACAATTTTTAACCCGGTCCTGTACTTCTGTTGTACGTGAGCATCAGTCTATAGCACCGACTGCCCAGTACCAAGAGCTCAAATGAGATTCTGACAGCTGGTGCTTATAGAGAAGGGAATTAGTTGTTATCACTTCTCAGCCTCGGGGTGAATAATCGAGGCTTGCTTGTTTGTTTGGGTGGACTGCTCATTTCATCTACAAAAATATCAGTCATTATGGATGATTATGTCAGTTTGCAAGATATAGTACTTTCTCTGTTGGTAAAAGAAGTTCAAAGGGAGCTTCTGAATACCCCTCCTGCCCCCTTGAGTAAATTTTAAACAGATCTGGAATGCTAGGCTTTCTTCAACTCCAAACATTTATCAGTTTTCCACAATAAATAGCTACAAACAAATACATAAAGACAATGGAAAGGTATGTGAAAGCTTAAATCTCATGAAATGCAAATACTGTGCAAAAACATAAGCTGAATTCTGTAGTACTTCTTTAGATGTATTTATATGAGAGGGTTTCCATGAAGTTACAGTATGATCTGTAATGCCAAGTATTATTTGTATAAGTCACACTGTGTTTCTGCCGCTTACTTGGGTGAATATAATCAAAGTTTTAGTACAAATATTTAGGGTTAAATTTATCTTTCCAGAGGTCTTCACATGTCTTAATAGATAGTGCAAAACAGTTAATTGTCTAGAATATTCATGAAAAGCAAAAATAAGAAGCATAATTAAGTTTTAGGAGTTTTTTCCTTCTGATCAACATACATGAAAAATATAGATTGGAATAAAAAATATATATATTGCACAATGATAAAAGCACCACTGAAATTATAAAGATTCAGAAATTAAAATGCTGCAAAAGAATTTTTCAAAGATTTTCTAGTTATCTGCACTGTTTTCTCTTGTTATAAAAAGGAACCCTCTTTCCATTGACTTCCTTTTATCTTTTGATTTTTTTGTTGACTGTAAGACCTTTTCCCCTAAATAACAGCTTTTTAGAAAAATTCTGAGTACAAAATTGACAGATAATCCTTGAGCTTGCAAACACAATACACACAGTGACTGTAGAAAAAGAAAAAAATACATAAAGCAGAAAGCAACTGAAATGCAAGAAGACATCTAGGCGATTTTGTTTTAAAAAGTTAATAACAAAATAACAAATACTGTTATCTTAGGCTGTTCCATATCTGGATGTCCTAAGCCTTCTAGCTGATGAGGAAATAAAGCAACTTCAGAGTCTAAAAACCATGCTACATTGTTGTTTTTACTACTATACTGTTTCTTGTTCAGCACTAAATAAAATTATATAAAGGGAATGAAGGTGAGATTGAATTTCAGTAGCACAGTCTCTGTATTTTTTTAATATCTTTAGGTTGTCTTTTCTTTGTTCTCTTTTTTTGTTTCTGTGGCAGTGATACTTTCTTACACTGCAAGTGTTCCAGGACAGAAGGGTGAAAAGAGGAGCTAGTTGAAGGTTTTAAAGTATTTATATATAACTAATAAGCATCTTCAGTGTTCTGCTCTTTGCTTTTGATTAAAATACATATGAATAAAGTATATAAGTATATAAATTGCAAATGTAAGACTTTGCTAAAGAACCGGAACACAATTATTTCAACATTCAGTATGAAAAGTGCTCATTGTTGTTTATTATTCAAAACTATTGTTATTTGGAACAGCAATGCAGAAAAATTCATACAAGCAGTGATGACCAAGTTCCTGCTTCAGGTTATTACCTATTGTGAAGCAGTTGCATAAATCACACAAATGATCAGCTAACAGTAGAGACTTACATAAATAAATCAATATAGTTGTGTAATATAGAGAGCATAACACCATGTGTGACTGACTTTTGCTGTTGTGTCCTAACACTGGATTTCTTTATTGCTCATGATCTGACAGGATGTTGAAAAGGTAGGAGTTTCTGCTTCCAGGGACATCAACTGTACAGACTTGTTCATCTGCTGTTCATTATCACTTCAGAGGTGAAGGCTGTTATCTTTGTACTTGACCTCTTGGTAACTCTCTTGTTAAAAAGAGAAGCAGAGCGTTCAGTCAACAGGCTAAACTAGAACAGGATTTCCAGATCATGTTTATATCAATCTACAGATAAGGATGAAATTAGCTGCCGTTGTTCTGTATTTCTGTCCTACATTCAGCAAGTTACAGAATGTCATCCTCATAGTCCTAGTAGCAGCTTTGGTACAGCTTAGGCCAGTAACTATAAATCTTAAGCAGCAATCCAACTCCTGTTCTGTATGTGACAGGATAAATTGCAATGCTTTTGATAACACCACTGGAAGATGTGGCCTCTGGCCTGAGAAATTTGTCATCATGGAAGAATGTGGTGATCTAAACTAGGAAATAAATAAAAATGGCATTTTCATTGTATGTTTGGAACTAGCAATAAAGCATCTAGTGTCTTAGAAAGCTTCTTAATTCTACTGAAATATGACAATCTTCATGATATTGCTTGTTAACAGTTCTCCAGGCCTGTGACTTTTTTCTTAAGGATTTATTGCTTATCTGCAACTGCATAATTAAAGGAAAATTAGTAATTTGCTTTTGAATGTTACTGTCAAATCTCATAATCACAAATTTTTAATTTTAATTCAGCGTGACTGTGCATAAATCCTGAAGCACCTGTACATAGAATTGCACCAAATAGTTAAAGTGCTGTGAAGACCGTGTTTGGAGTATTGCAGGAACAACATGACTGGAAAGCGTTAAGAGGAATAAAAAACATAAATCCAAGACTTTTGGGTACAAAGGTACAATCAATGTGTCAAGACGTGTTTATTCCACAGAGTACTGGATGCTATACGCTGGATCAGTGTCACTTGCTTTTCACTTTTTCTAAGCATTCACCTTCAGTATCTGAAAGTGGGTTACATAGACATAGACTATGGTTTCATTTGGTGTGGTAGCTCTTAAAAGGAATTCCGTGGTGTACCCAAGGTGTTTGGGGGCTGTAGCATATGAGGTGTGAAGAGAGGCTGAAGCAGCTCTTTCTGTTTTGCCTGAAGAGACAAGGTTATAGGGGCTTCTTACTGCCATCTTCAACTCTATGGAGGTATTTGCACAGAAGCAAATAACGCTTAAGATAATAGACACAAGCTGCAGCAGGGGAAATTCTAACTAAATGCAAGAAAATAATTGTTCTCAGCATTCCCATTTGCAGATGATCATACTATTCAGAGGCACATCACCCCTTAGACATATTGCCTGCTTCAGACTCTTCAGCAGCCGTGTCCCAGTGAGAAGAGGACTGCTTGCCAACTACTTCAGCAGAGCCAGGGTGAGACATTTTGCCGTGACAGATACCACGGGGGTGAAGTCCAGGCATACATGTTAGAATTGTAAAAGGTACAGAGAAGGGTAACAGTGACTAAATTAATGCAAAGGCATCACAAAGGTCAAGCATCACTTATGCAAGGATTTTCCAGGGAAGAATCATGCAATTTACAGTAAAGGTGAACCAGAAATGACATTTCTTTATTTCTCTTAGTACCAGTCTGAATGACTTAAATGGATGAAAATTTTGTTGGTAAAAATAAGATCTTCACAGAGCACAAAATTAAATTGATTTTCATTGCAAGATGCTGCGGTTAAAAGATCCTAAAGAACCAAATAGCGACATTCACGAAAGTGAAGATCTATGAGATATGATGCAACTTTTGATTTAGGAAGACACTGGTGCAAATTCCCAAAACCTGGTAGGATGTACCAAGAGAAAAACTGCTGTGTTATTTGCATGATTCCTAAACTCTTCCCCTAACCATTTGGCAGTAGAAACAGTCAGAGACTCCATAGCAAGCGAAATTGACTTTTGTCTGCCATAAAAAATATTATTCTTAACTTCAAAATCATTAGAGAGAAAAAAAGTAGAAAAGTTTTGTTTGGAGTAACATAGAATAAACTATTATCTGTTGTAGCTCCAGTTTTGGTTGTATAAATATAGATGAAGATTTTGTCTGTAATGTTTTTGGACAGAGAAATGCTTGGGAAACTTTGACTTTGCAGATACAGACTAGAGGACAAATGCTAAGGATATGGTAGGACCTGGATATTTGTGTGCATGCTGACCAGCCAATTTTTAGGTAGATAGGCTGTGAACCTGCAGAAGGTGGCATTCATTAAAATGAGTTTTGATAAACAGTGGAGTGTTTGAGAGGTTATGGCTGTAAAAATAAGGACACACAAAAAAAACCAAAAACCAAAAAACCAAAAACCAAACCAAAACTAGTTTTTCATTAAAAACAAAAACAAAAAACAAACTCAGATGGATTTGTTTTGAATTAAGTGGAATTAAATGGCTGTTATCCATGTCTCATTCTGCAAAAGGCGGATTTTATACACAGATATACTAAGACAATTAAAAGGATAGGATAAATATAGAGAAAGGTGGAAGTAAAATACCATAACGTTCTCAATCTATGTAGGTTGAGATGCTATTTTATAGTTGATTTAACAGATGAAGAAAACAGTTGATATCATCTTTCTAAAATTCAGCTCAGGAGAAACTAATAGTTAAAGTACAAATGACAAGAATTGGTGGAATTATTGGCAGATGGATAAAAGCTTTGCAAAAGGGAAAGAGCAGCAGACAGTTCTGCAATATCTGATATCACAGTAGTTACTAGTGATGTTCCTAAAATAACTTAGTACTGAACTTCTTTAATAATGTCAGGCACAACTCTGGTAGAAATACACTAAAAATGCTGATTGTATTTGGTGACAATATAAATATATAAGCATTGTCAATACAAGGTAGGGTGTTTTATAAAAATCTCTTGTTACAACTGGATTAGTAGAAATGGGATGAAATTCAGTAATAGATAATATCAAGTGATGCACACTTCCCCTTAAGGGTGGGTCATCACAACCCTGCTACTGGTATCAACACTTCTGTTGAAAGCTAGAATTTTGCAAAGAAATAAAGTGGAAATGTACTGGCTGTCCTACATAACAGCATGATTATAAATTAGTGAGTTCATTTAACCAGATAATGAGATAACTGTGTTGAAAAGTTAACTCCAGTAGAAATAAAGACACTGGTGATGCTCATCTGGAATACTTGCTTATTTTGATTGCCTATGTCCAAGATCAATAAATTCAAACCAAAACAGTTATGTGAAATCTCTGCTGAGTGAATAAGTAAAGCTGAAGTGTCTTCTGCTAAGAGCTAGAGCTTGTTATCTGAGGCTAAACAAGTCAAAAGGGCATGTCTTTGTTAAGATATTCAGTAGGAGGATAAAAACTGGCAGAAATATTACCATTTAGGCTAAAAGCCAATGTTTGTACAAGAGCAAAAAGAGAGAAAACAATTATAAATATACTCAGATTGGAAATGAGGTAAAAGGCCCAGTCTACTGGAACGATATATTTTGATACTATCTCTAAAGGAGACTGGTGAGGGGAGGGAAAAAAAAGGTATTTTAAACTAAGGCTATGAACAGTTTTGAAAGTGAATGCATGAAATGCTACCTGTAATAATAAAGAACTACATTTTGTGATCCAGGAAGTTCATTCTAATTTTGTGCTTACTTAAAACACTCTCATCTATGAAATTATATGCATCCCATCTTCTGTTTATTTCAGATCATATGTTTAAATTAGAGGTACTCTTGAGAAAGCAACAATGACTATTGCAAACTGATGTATTTGACGTGTGAAATCTTTCTGCATGGAACAATACAAAATTAGATCACGTTAAAATTGCCTGTTTTCAACGGTTATAATTTTACTTAAATCTTAATGCAGCAGTGAAAAGTTTTCTAAAGTTGCTCATTTATTTTCTTCCTCAATTATTTTGCCATCTTACTCTTTCGCATCAAGAAACTTCTATTATAGATTAAATAAAGGACTTTTCAAAGAGCCAACTCGATGTTAAGACAAATTCTTTGATGTGAAAGTTCCACAGAGTTGTGTGTGCCAAGTTACTGGTGCAGTTCATGGGGCAGGACATGAAGTTAACTGAAAATTTGCAGTAGAATTCTGTTCTTATGAAGGTGCAAATAATTGCTGATTTATATCTCTTGGAGATGGTAGTGAAAGCCTTACAAAACGTTGGAGTGAACCATTATTGAGGGTAATATGAAGTTAGAGAAGAATATGCAGATTTCTCCATTTCTTTTCTTGCTTCCATGCCCTCTACCTGGTAGGCCAGTTTGCTACAAACATTTATATAATAAAATATATTTATTCTGCATAATGATAACAATAGTAGTAGTCAAAATGAAAAACTGATTGTAAATTAAAAAGAAATTGAACATGTATTATTTTTACTGGATGATGATAATTATTATTATTGATTTTTAATGTTATATATAGTTCTGAGTTTATACAAAAAGTAAGTCATAGGTCACAGAGTTCTTTCTAGAAACATTTTAACCAGTTAAGGTAATAAAGAATTACAATGCAATAGTGGGACCTGTTGTATTCTGCTATTCAGGAAATATGGGGGAAAACGGTTGCTGAAGTAATTTGCTAAATTTCAATTTAAGCAAAACTTATGTCAGCTACATCTTTTACATGTTGGAAAAAAAAAAGAGACCAATGAAAGTGAGTCTGAATTCACAACTCAGGAATGACAATCTCAAAGAGAATGTGCACTTAAAAATAAAATGCTGTGCCTAATTTAAGATATTCTTCCTGAGCAGCAAAGGTTTAATCCAAAACCTTTAGCATGTGCTAATATTCATCCCTCAGTGCCTTCTCAGTGTAGAAACACCTCTTTTCCAGATCTGATTCCCTCTGGAGACAGGTAAACACCCTGTGCCTCTACTTGCTGTGCTGTAGCCAAACCCTCATGTGTCTGTATTTGAAAAAAAAGGATACAGGCAGTTTGTCATCCATTTCTATTCAGCAAATTCTTAAAAGTAAATAAATCTCTTCCTCAGATTTATCTTACACAAAGCCAGTGTAGACAGTTAATTTAACAATCACAAGGGAATTTTTTTCTGTTTACTATGATATTGTAGCTTTTCCCACTTTTTTCCTTAAGGATTGTGCTATTTATTCTTCTCTTACCTGCAGTCTTTACAGAAAGTCTTAGTGACCTTCAAAACTTTTATTTCCTAGAAGATGTATGGCTTCACCTGTTTCTGAACAGTTCTGTAAATTCATGTGCTAGACCCATGAGCTTCTTAAATGTTTGACTGTCACATGAGGGATGCAAGGGTGAAGTGCAGGTCCTCAGTAACCCTGCTCAGCTGTCATATCATGCTGAGGCCTTCCTTGTGCACACTGGACTCACTTCAACAGCACTCTAAGCTTCTGCTTGTCAAGATCTTATGGGGTATGTATGTGTGTTCCCAAGCCATTAAGGCACCGAAGTGGTCAGTTCTCAGCCTTCAGGAGATGGAAACACTTCAGCTTGTGTTTCTGTGGAGACTTACTCCCTTTGACATTCTTAAAATGCATTGGGAAGATATAACCTTGCACAAAACGTAAATCAAGAAAAAGACATTTAATTTTATTGTGGTTTAGGGGGTTGGGGATTTTATTTTTTTGTTGTTGTTGCTCGTTTGGTTTTTTTTGTTTGGTTTTTGTGTTTCTAGCAATCAGCTATGTCAGCTATATCAACTGTATCTGCTTTGTATGCAGAAGTTTTGGGTTTAAAACTAGGTTCTTGATTTGAGACTGCCCTCAAGTCTGCACAGAGGCATGCTTCTCATACTCTCTGCCTGAGAATATTCCATTAAAAGCAATAGGGATTTAGTTT